TAGTTAATATGGTAACTCCACCAGTTCGCAGATCAGGCCTACAACAGGAGGTTATTGATAGTGTTTTCGGGCTATACGTAAGAGGCCTGTGGTATGTACATAAATGGGTCAGATACTGTCCTAATTATTAGATATTTTGTATATGTTAACAAGCTCACATACGTTTCGTATTCTCGATGATGGATTATTATCTATTACTATTAATAACCGAACTGACAAACTTTGGCATATGCAGGACAGTAGATTTCGTTTCCGAGCATTTGTGCAGAGTCAATCTCGACAAAATGACAGTATTCAAGACGTCAGCAATATACTGATGGTAGAAAAGAGGGAAGAAAGTGAATATAACCGTGGATAGTGCCGATAAAAATTGTCGTTATATTGGATCATCGTTTTACTGCTCCATGTAGCTTGCTATTCAGGTATGTGTATAGTCTTATGATTAGGAAATATTACTTGCGAATTGTCGACTCACACTGTATGATGCAAGTTTTCTTGCTGATTTCGCCTCCATTCACTGACTTATAGATGTTGCGATTACGAGTACCTTTAGGACAACTGTTCAAGTGTGTAATGCGATCTTTGAATTGATACACTCCCTCAAGCTTGGGTGGTGGGTGGGTGAAGTTAATGTATGGAAATGTACTCTATGTTAAAATTTTGCCTACAATCAGAATGTGATCGAGATGGCAATGGCTCAATAGTTAGTGTTGATGGAGAGTCACTTCAGCGGTGGGATGGCAAATTAAAAATAGGATATATAATAATAACTACTACCAATTGTTTAGCAGACGTATGTGTAATGAATTTATTTTTGCTCACAAACGTATCCCAACATAAGATTTTGTGATTACCCATCATAGTACAGGTCTACGCCGCCAAAGCTTTTATTCAGTTGGTATGATGATTGAGCTGGTTAACTTGACTTTATCGGATAACAAGCGTGATTTTAAATTTGTAAGTAAGGATAGAATCAAAATCCCATGATCTGTCAAATGATGTCTATTAGTTGCATACCTGGATATCCCTGTACAACATTGAATTCAAACAATTTTATTATCCCCCGACAATAGCAACAGCCCGAGGTTTGTTTAAATGCCAAGCTTTTTTCTCCGTCTTATTTTCTTCGAGTACCATTCATTCTAAAATTCACAAGTAGAATGAATCATTACTTACCTACAAATTTGCGCAACGGCGCATATAATCTAAATTTGGTCAGAAAATGCTCGATAATTGCTAACACAATCACAGAAAGATGACAAACCGTACAATCTGCTCATATCTACTGAGAAACGTTCTTCAGTTTGTTACGTTGTTGTAATGCTCGTGAGCCATCTGATCGAGCTCCAAAAGTGAATTCTTAAGTTGTAATGCAAGGATTTCATCGTGAGATAATTTGATCAAGAAATAACAACTTATTTTTCTTATTGATTATTCCAAGATTTAATACAATCCGTGGAGGGAATTCCTAACGACATAAACAAGCATCGTAATTCGACAGCGTGAGATATACTAAGCTAGTCCGAAGTAAAAGAGGGAGAGGGTTTAGAATAAAATGATACAAACTTTGTAATTTTGAAAGTATCCATGTCATCAACTCGAAGTATTGAAAGCTTTTTAACAAAACCATAAACGCATTGAGATTTTGAATTATGTTGTCCTTCGTTTTTGCCTAGCGTCTCATCGGCTTAAAACCATATCTGCTACTATCATTTGTTAAAAAGTACAGTTACCTCTTTTTCAATAAGAATCAAAATCAAACCAAGTAATTGTACATTACTTAATCTCCAGCCACAGTTCGATATGTCTTGTAAACTAGATTATCCGCTTCTTTTGCATAAACGTTTGTATGATTTTTGGTCATCACAAGTCTTTGGCTATCAGGTATGATAATCGTAAAAGACACTAAACAGATCGTTGCATTGTATCCTGTTAAAGCGATCGAAACGTATAGATTAAGATAGCGAAAAGTATAATAAATTGGGAAAAGACGCAAGACGCAATGTAAAAATATGCAATTATTTTACAGCAGTTTAATTTATCATAAAACATACCAATAATGTTATGATTGTTATAACGTATAATAGTAACAACAATCTTGTTAAAGACTTGTTTTGACAAGATTCATATACAAGCTATCATGTTCTAAGCCGGTTTGCATCCAGGCCAGGTTTCTTTATTTTCATTTGTTGTGAATACCAACTTGTATCTCTTCAAGCGTAGACGGGTAATATGGACAATAGAGAGTTTTTTAATAGAACAACATGCGTAAAGCAAGATGCATGTATGCAGAAAAAAATGTAACATTTAAGAGCATTAGAAGAAGCAAGCAAACGCTCTGATAAAGGGCGTTGTGAAGGACTACAAGCTATACTCTTGGGAAAAGTAGGTTATAAACGAACAGTCATAAGCAAATACGCTGACAACCTGAGAAGCAAATTACTAAAAAAAATTTTTATCTTTTTAAGGGGCAGGTTACTAAAATTAAATCTGAAACTCTGATTATCAATAAGGCAAATGTTGAATCCCTGCAAATTTATGGAATGCCAAAGTTACTCTGTCCTTGGCATGACGTTAAACTGCCGCCTTGCTTGACATATTCACGCATGAGCAGTACTTGATGTGCTGCCACCTCGACGTGGTAAGCTGGGGCAACGTTAAAACGGCAAAGAGCAGACAATTCCCGCGATTTGAAAGACATGTGTAATAATAAATATTAAATAATCTGTGAAAAGACAGACCTGGGTATGTCAACACTCGGAATTCTCACAATCAAAGATGCTACTTATCAAAATTCATAATATGTAAGTGGCATGAAAGCAGAAGACAAGAGAAGATCGGGAATACTATTTATGCCATGCGGCAAATTTCCTTTTGCCATGCGGCGAGTTTCTTGGCCAAGCGACGAGGTCAATTTACGGATTTATTGATTGATAAATCTCCCAGAGTTAATTGCTAAAAAATCATCACCAGCAACGCAGGAGAGCCATTAATTAGCTGACCTTGAGATTTAGTTATATGCTCACATAATATTTAGTTACCTCAAATCGCCACGTTGCAGTCATTTTTATCATAGTTACGCAAACATATAAATAAGAGTTATGTTCAATTACTGAATTCTATATCTTTGGCTCAATTCACAGTTTTGTACCACAACACTACAACTATTCTCTTGTCGTTCTACAGGCTTCAACGACACGAACACTACAGTCTCTCCCATCGTCGTCTCGCAGAGCTACTATTGTCCTAAGCATCGCAAATGTCAAAGTTAAACAGAATAATGTATTCGTTATTGTTAAGCATATTACATGTTGTACATGGGTTGACTCAGTCCAGAACCGAGACGGGTCTCAAACTGAAGTACAACAAACATACACAATAATTTTTGCTCTGGATACATAACGACTAAGGAAACATAATAAACTCGTTCCTGAGAATAATGTTTACTACTTCTGTCGAATTTATTAACAAATAGGAGCGATACAGTAATGTACGAATTTATTTTGAAAAGACTAATATAGGAATGACATATTCTTACTGCAAATTACGGAACCAAAACTACAATGTTAAAATAGTTATTGTTACGCCGCTGTGCTGGACGAGCGTTTGTGTTTAAAATTGAACGGGAGAGTAGAGAATATTCTCTAAAAAAATCTTGCTTTTGCGGTCACGTTAATCAAACTTAACTAATTCTTAAGGTAGCTGTCCCATACTTTTATTGCGTTTCATCATGTATTGCAATCCGTGTTTGACTTGCTTTGTTGTTTTACAGCTAATAATTAAATGTCGTGAGATAATATGTATGGAACTATGACTATCGCTATGCAATATGTAGCTTTCGATCCATATTATAATTTGACTAATTACTTGTACCAAGTCGAATAATAAGCAGCTTTAGCGGTTCTCCGTAGTTGCCAATAAGATCCTGTAAAAACGCATGTCCCGTGTCTGATAACTCGTATTGTTCTAAATAAGGCTATATTACAATAATATGCAAATACATGTACTTTACACAATTATTAAGCAATTGTTGATCGTTTATTGATTTGCTTTGACACCGATAGAATAAATTTCAAACGTTATAAGTAAAAATACTATTAAAATTTGATACTATTTATCAAGCATTATACCAATCTACTTTTAAACTTTTACTGAACATGTTAGCATTTGCATATAAACTCAAATTTATTTTTTAATCTAAGTAACTGTTTGCAATAACATCGTATCAAATAAACCGCAAAAAAGTTTAATTTTATTATGCGGCATTTTTATGCTGACAAATTCTCCCGTCTATCCTCCATGAGTTGTACAATAAAGTTGAAAAGTTACACTACATTCTGTGCAATTTTGTCTTTATGTAAAAATGGTTTGAATATAATATACATATATGCATCGAAAATAATTAAGAAAGACGGCTACATTGGTCAAGGCGTGGTTCCACCGTCATTTTAAACTCGGCGCACTTTGTCACACAAAAACCCTTAGCGAATCGTAGTGGTCAAATTTAATATCCCGTTAATTTTCACGATACGCTGCAAATCTTGGAACTTTTTATGGTAACATTCCTAATATGTATTACATCGGTTTGTTTGCTAAATAACAACACGTCTAGTATATTAAAAGGAAAGGGTTTCCATGCATGCTTCGTACATAATCTTAACATTTACAATGTATTTATTGATACAGTATTATTGGAATTAACTTGGCTGCTGCGATCAAAAATGCTTTGTTTACTTGATTCGAACTGACGCTTTTTTTTTTTTACTCTATTTTTTTTACTAACGACTTGGTCAAGTGTATAGACTTTTTTAAGCTCCGTTAGCTTGACAGAACACTCGAAAAGGGCCAGCTTTTCTTGTCGTGAATCAAAATACATAAAGTAATGCTGCTACACAACACAACAGTCACCTGATACAGATAAATTTGTCTATACCGTTTGCGCTTACTGATTTTAATAACTAATGTATTGTATATGTCACCATCCTTTCTACTTTATATTTCTACAGTACACCTCTTCTGCCAAACTCTTGTGCAGAGTAACGTAGTTGAGCAAAACGTGAATTGAACCCGACTGAGTTACGAAGATCCTTAAACTGATGAAAAGAAATGGGTTGAATCTTACGATTTATGTACCACTTTACACCTTCAGAGCACGGAGGTGTCGTAAGACTTCCAATGTAATTGTACGCCTGTTAAAAAAATTTTAGTTAATCAACAATAATTATGAGAATAATTCTGACTTTACATTTACGCATATACACAAGCCCGTATTGTAATCTAGTCCTTACCCGTTTAAGATCCTTAAGATCACACAAAAGTTGTTCAAATTCCACTTTTTCGATCTTTTTCTTTTCACCCCTCTTCATTGGCAGTTTTTTGGTTATTGGTACTAAAAACTCATTGTCATAATCGCTGACCTCATAAAGTATGGCAACGACCGCAATTATTGTATTGTTATAATGGTCTTTTCTGGTAAAAACCATGTGGCCCTCCGCATCGAAATGTTTTCCGTTAACACGATGTTCACTAGGTGTATGGAAATGCATTTGCTGCATTTGATATTCTTTGTGGTTTATCGTTATACGTAAAGGAAGTACTTCATTTTCACTTTCAGTGCCAATTTCGACGGTGTTGCCAATGTGAGCAATTTCTAAACCTCTTGCATTCTTAAATGATGGGATCGGAGGAGTGGATTTACGAGCAAACTCGTATTTGGGAATGTCTATTGGCGACTGCCTTTTACCCGTTGAACAGAGAGCAAATTCTTCAGAAAGACTTCCCCAAAACTCTGGAGCCTTCTTGCCACTGTATGCAAATCTGAGTTCGGGTAAGGTCTCGAACACGGTCTCGGTCTCTGCCTCGGCCTCGGCCTTTATGTATGGGTATGGAGCAAGCACGGTAAAGAGGAGTACGATGAATGCAAATGTAAAGTAATTCATGGTTTTGTACAGGAGATGACTCTATCGCAAGTAGTGAAAAAAAATTGAAAAGGAATGAAAGGAATGCTTATGTGTGCGACAATATATATATATAATACCAAACCAGTTGGTAGACAGTGGCTTTGCGGAAGGATTCGAAAGGGCAATGAGAAAAATTGCCGCCAGGAAAGTATTTATAAATAACATCATAGCATGCTGAACGTATCTAGTTGCACAAAATGGTATGCTCTCATTCGTTGAAATTACCCCTTAGCCGCTGCATTTAATAACGGTCATAACAGATCTCCGATATTACCTGTAATAAATGTAATAATAATGATGCTTACTTGTCAAGAAAAGTTAGCAGCTAATAGATTTTCACAAAGACGGCCTGCCTGTTACCTTTTCTCCATGTTTCCTGTTCCCCTTAAATCTGCTACTCGGAAAATCGCCCAAATTTTCTAATTAGAAAAAACGTTTTCCAGAGATCAACCAAATATAGCATTGTGTCACCAACCCGACATCATTATAGAATCATATGGGCATTATACCGAAACAGAACGAGTTAACTAAATTAGAATCCGTCTTTCTTATTGGCTGTATAATGACACTATATTGTACCACTCCCAGGAAATCCAGAGGTAATAATCGTAAACTTATTCCATTTGTTGTCTAGCATTCATTGCGGTATCTTTTTTTATACCGAATTTACTTTTAGTTATATTAGTCGATAACCACTTATTAATTAATGACCCATCGCTTGAATATGTTCAACTATCTAAAAGCACTAATGTATAACGGTTATAACATTTGTCTGACATCAATCATTCTTGCAATTTTGAAGGGACAATTCACGAAAATCGAGATCTACTTGTGTGGTATCTATGTACTAATAATATTAAGCCAGCCATGGGTAATGATTAGGGAGATCACCTTAGCACGATTACTGTCTACATGGCTTCCCGAGACTTGGGGAAAGCAACCATTAACATAAAGGCAGATACATTACTAGTAATTACGCTAGACTTAATCAAGTAGGTAGTATGATCAATGGAATGTCGAACCCTACATCAAAGTATTGATGTTCGAAGGCTATTGGCTTAGTAGAGTTGAACTGTATATATTTTGTACGTAATTAGACGGTCTGTAATGGAAGTCATTCACATCGCTATTGGCCATCGTAGGCAATCCGTTATGTTCAATCTGAGAGCCGTATACACACCATATTTCCGAAGACAGGACATTGCTTAAAAGGTGGAATTTTAGTCGCTATTTGTCTCTTGTTCTATGAATATTTGCGTATAACGCAACATTCTTCGTACAAAAATATTTCCTACTATATCAATGACGACACTTCATTGGTCCCGCGGGTAATGCTATGCACAAGAGTTCTAGCCGTCTCAATGTACATATGTACATCATCCAGTCATACGTGCATGCATTGTAACATCAATGACTATTATCATAAGCTATCGGATTGTGTCTTTAATCTTCTAAAGAAAACGGATGCATTGTGTCAAGAAGCTCTCCTTTCTACGTTTTGAACAGAAACATCTTCTAAGGAATGTTCGGTTTCAGCTTTTATTGCAGAATGTTCTTTGGAAAGAATTGAGTTTCCCAGCGACAATTAATTATTGCATAATATTAAGATTAGGCAATCTTATCTCACAGCGATCAGAAGAGTCCAAAAAAAGAATGTTTCAATAAATAGAAAGTCAACAATATCAACAATATCAAGAACACCCATTATATGCAGACAAATACAATCTGTCAACTTTGATGTTACTCATTGAATAAATGTATATTAATTTACCAGATTATTAAAGACGCATATCATAACAAGAAAAACAGTATATCGGGATAAATGTCTTGTAACTCTTTCAAGTTAGTAAACTCCTATTGGTTGACACTATCTACACCGAGTCGAGCTTTATAAGCAAATGAATATTGATAGTTGAATATGACTATTTTCTTTTCCCATCAGCAAAATCCCTTCATTCCTCGTTTGTATAAGCACTCTCCCAAGCCTTTTCCCTAATTAGTGGATCTCAATAGCTTGGCCTCACTTTGCACCACATGCTTGTTCCGTTACTCAACATCATCAGGAAATGTATATTTAGCATCTCTTAAATTAGCCTCTCCTCGCCGTCTGTCTGATGAGGTTACTAAAAACATTTCTCATAGCTCTCCAAACGATACATTGTGTAACAAATACTTGCAGAATATTAAAATGTACAGTATATTTCATTTCCATAATAAATAACTGAAACATTTCAACTAACTAAATTAGACCGATAATGATATTTTCATAAGATAATTTTACAATCATCATAATTATGTTTATGTCACACAATTCATATAGATCAAGCATGATGCAAGCTTTTGTGAATTGCTTCACGAAACTGCATTATCCTGAGTTTGATCGTCTTCAATGGATGGGGTCCTCTAATACTGAAAGGCAATTACTGTGTCAATGTCTATATTGGTGTGTTTTGTACCGTACTCAATCGATCTTAGAAAGGTGAATATAATTGAATTGTTGACAACTGCAACAAAATTGTATACCACGTAATTCTTTTTTATTATATCGAAACTAGTTGGGATAAATACTTTTTATTGACTATGCAGTTAAACTCATTAAGCGCACTAACAATTCCACATTCGTTCTTCCTGTTATATATTTCCTACGATTACTAAAGAACAAAACTCCTCGTCAGTAATACGTGCCTTTACATGAGAACACGAGTTGTTTTTATTCAAGATATACAAATAGCAGTTTATTACATGTTTTATTTTTGTCCTTCTCAACATTGTTATAAACATTTTCTCCAGCTGTTTCCGAAAGCCAAAGCAACCACTTATAGAACACCTCTTATATACTTATAGTTCACTTGTCGATATACGAGTAAATTTAAAATGATAGTAATGAGTTTGACATACGGGAACCAAATAATTTGTTAATTAAATAATATTATTTCAATATTCCCATTGGAGCGTCAGAAACTTAATCAACCTAATCCGTTCGTAGTAGATATTCTTCAAAAACTGTCATTGGATATTTCACGAATATGATTGGAGAATCTGCAGTATCGGAATATAAATTGGCCAATAACAAAAAACCCTATATAACTCAGGAAGTAATTAATAGATTAACTTTTACTTTTTATTTGTCAGCTTCAAAGTATTTTTCTCTGCTCAGCTACTATAATTTACGCAAGTTATCGGTTGGTTATTCTCTTTTTTTAAGTAGGCATAGTAATAGTCATAAATCGCTCCTATGTGTGAACTAAATTTAAGTGCTTGAACAAAACACATTACTGAAACATTTGTATCGTCTTGTCTTCTGGTTTATTGAAACTGTCCGACACATCTTAAGAAATGTCTGTGCTGATAAGTTTGATTTTGTAAAAGAACGACGATACTATTTAAGAGGCGGGTGGAATATTTTGATTATTATTAAAAGGGACAATATTTGCATCCCCGGTTAATTTGTCCTCGAAATTCCACGTTCCTAAGTCAATACGAGTGTGCATGCACTTTTTTGTTAGCCGTAAACATTACTTTTCTTTTTTTTTTAAATTTTGTTTTTGATAATAATATTACCGCATAGGAATTAAAGTGCACTATCTGAACAACAGTATTGCAACCCAAATTTAACCACTTATTTGAACAAACGCGTATTCGATTTTGTGTGTGTCGATTATATTTTCAACCATTCCTGATTCCAAAAAAGGTATTCTTAAACTAAAAGTCGACATAATGAAATTATTAACCACTCAAAGTTTATAGAGCGCTCGTCTCTCTTACTTTGAAAAATGACTAATCTTGTTAGTTGCCCCAAATTGATGTCAAAAGTTATTGATTTACAGAAGCCAAAAAACGTTAACAATAAAAAATCTGTTAAAAAAGCTATATTGAATTTTCTACCGCTTGAGATAAAAATGGGTTATTTATGTCCAGCTTGGAAACAGCTTTGAAATAATGCATTCAAAAAAGAGATTAGACTGTTTAAAATTTTACAGAGTAATTAGAGCAGATTTACAATATTTAACGATGGTCCAGGCCGCGTATAAAGAACTCCTAGCGTAGCGCCAAGTTTAGTATTGGTTCTAACAGAAAAGTTTTAGGTGGAGAATCAATAATTAGCTTGACAGAAAGTACGACACAAAGAATAGAAGCAGCTATTGTAAACAACAAAATATTGATTACTGTATATAATTGCTTTATTGTGAATATATAAGTATTACAGTTTGAGACATAATTATTACGTACGATTCTGTTCAATTAATAAATTTTGGTATGCAACGCTTTTGTCCAGGTAATGTATGTTACACATAGATGTTTGTTCATAGACAAACGATATAAGCTGTACTGCTATTCATTAAACATGTTATGTTATACAGTATACATCACTCAAATCTAACATACAGCAAGTTTAAATGCAAAATAATTCCAGTAACGTATTGTTATTAATTTATTACTGGAGTGTTGCTCACAGTTTAGATTAAAAGCTTAAAACAAGGCTTTAAAAAAACCCCCAACACGTTTTATAATAAGAGAATTTTCATAAACAAGACACAATGAATGGTTTAAGATAGTTTATTTTCTGTTAACCTTTTTTTTTGTTCGGGTTTAAGTACAGAGCGGTTCTCCGTCGGGTATATGAGTAATCTCTATCCTCTTTGTACGTCAATATTTATAATTTATCGTTTATTATGATGCGATGTCTTATAATTGTTTGAGGCGGCAAAACTCCGCTCTTACTGTATTATACCACATTAGCGTTGAAACCAAGCTCAACCTATTGCATATTAATGGTTTATTACACGTGCGTGAGTATTAACATCTTATACAATAGCAACACGGGTTAAACGTATTAATCCCAAATCCAAATCTACCTACCGTAATTATCTTTATTTTTCGACTACAAACACCTCCCAATCAGTCCATTCAAAACAATCTGATGAATGCCTTATTGGAACTTGATATGAATCTTTGTGAGCATAGGGTTCAAAATTTGTGCCATTCCCAAAAGCTAAATCGTGGCCATATCCAAATACAGGAAACTGATCCTCATTATCACAAATGGCAAATGGACTATCAACAACAAAACTTGCTATACTTCTATCCATATTTTTATCTAATGCAAATATAAAACTTTCTTTCGTGTTAACATAACTACACCGGAAAAACCATTCAATTGGGTTATATCCACCAAGTATTTCTTCAGTCTCTGATACTTTCCCCACGGCAACTGTTGGTCCCTTGCTATTACACAATTCTCTAAACTTTGCAACTGTATTACCATCTCTGCTTTTCCTGTAAAGTAGTGTAAGTTTATAAGCATTGTCCAGCATCATAGGACTCTCTTGAAGTCTCATTGTTGATTCCACGATTTTTGATAAGATCCATTCTACTTGCCTTCCATTTATGATGACTGAATCAATATAAAGTTGTTCTTTTCCCATTCTTGATGGTAACATGCATGTTCTTGGTTTATAACTTTTACCCATATGATAATTAAGTATATCACAACACAGTTTTCTTGGCAATAAATCATAGCATTGAGCAACCTTGTTGGGGGTGATATTGAAAAATCTTATATGAGGTATAAAGTCAGCTATGATATTCTTGACTGCGTTAATGTCGTTAGATGACCAGTCATATGGATTATCTCCAAGCTTTAGTTCAGGCACTTGTTCAACGCCCCATTGTATAACTGACATCCATACATCATCTTCTTCCATCCTAAGGTGATCACTCTTAAGAAGAGTAATCAAAGTTTCCTTTGGCAAGGTTGCAAAAGCATTTGATTTAAACATAATATCTGGATGTGAACCTAAAATATGGTTGCAATAATCCAAAAGTCTGTTCAAATAGAGTGTGGATGCAGCATACTTATGAACCTTGAGAATATTCTGTTGAACCCATTCTTGCTGTTTATCAATCAAGTAAGTTTCAATTACAGTGAGAAGATCAAGTAGTTCTAATTTGCCAGCCCCATCCATAAGACTGATCCAACAAATATTCTTGCATGCACTATAGGACATTCGCCCCGTGTAAATATACCTATGATAAATAGTTAGTTGCAACGAGTGTTAGTATTGATTATTGTGCATATAACTTATACACCGTACGTTTCTTTGACAGTTTAGTTCTAAGTTTTACCTGAGCAAGATTTCGAAAACGTCAGGAGTCATATCTTCGAATGTTACGGCTGCCTTTTGAATCTCGTCAGGCGACTCTGCATTTCTCGTCAAGCTAATCTCAAAAAATTTGCTTCTCGTACACAATACCAATGCGTGAGCAAAAAATATCTTGCTACTTGGCTCCTTTCCAACGTGGACTGAAACATCTGTATATCTGCGACTTTCATACAGTTTCTCATAGTCAGCCGAAAGACCCGAAGACAGATCAACAAAATTGTTCATTTTTTCGTACATTGATAATATGCGTAAATAATTTGAAAAGCGATGCGTAGCTTGGAAATCGCGTCATTTAAGTTGAAAAGTGCACACGTGATAGTGTAACATTACTGTTGATTGAATAATGACGTAATAACACTTTGCTATATGGTAATAAGGTAATGTATTGCACAGCGTACGTGTCACTAGCAGCGTGTGTGAACAACGTTATTTATTGTGCTGAAAAGTAGGAATGACTTTTGTAACAATGGTTAAGATACTCCACAAGCAGGGAACGCATGGAAGTAAACAAGAATTTCTTGTAATTTATAAAAGGGATAACAATATTAGGTAACCGGTAAGGGCAGTGTACACGTAGAAGGGTTAAGAAATAAAATTTTATAAATTTATAAGTTAAGTTCATTGTGGGGTTGGGAATGCAAATGTATAATTTAGTTAGTCTACGAAAAAATAATTGCGCTAACAATTGTTTTTATAGTCTTCATAAAAAGTTAACGCAAAAAATTTGTTATCTGTTATCGAAATGATATGTAAACAGTTATTATTTTCTTGTTTACTTGATACATCAGAGCGAATATTTCCTTTTTTATATTTGTATTTTAATATTCTTAGTTCGACTTGCATAGTGCTAGAATTTTGAATTTTGATGACGTTGACTGAAACTAACGTCATCGTTTTCCCGCAATTTTTAAAAACAAATAACGTTCTCTTTTAATTCTTCGCTTTCTTATACTAGTCTCTATTTCTTTA